CGCGGCGGTCGGACACATTGCATGCACGTGTCGGTAAGAGTAAACGCGTGGTCGAGCGCGTGACTCGGCGGCGGCCGAGGCGTGCCCTTCTCTCAATCACGTTGAATGTAACGCGGTGCTGTCTTTCCATCTTTCTTAAACACCCGTGTCCGATCGTCGTCGTCGTTCCTTTCCGTCTGCGTCGGCCGCCGCTCTCCCACCGCGGGCCCCGCCGGTGCACCGGGCGCGTTTCTTCTCTCTAGTTCACGAGAGTCGGAGCTAACTCGTTTTCTCTCTTCGCGTTGGCCGCCACGCAGGTATGCCGGGCCGCTGCCTTCGCCGCGCGTCGCCGTGGCATCCCTTTGCGTGCTGCGTTTCGTCGCGGTAGAAAGAGAACACGAGGGAGGAAAGGGCGAGGACCTGCTCTCGAAGACCTTCCACCGGCACAGCCAGGTGTAACGACGACTCCTCGCGACATCGTACACCGATCCCGCTTCGATCTTCGCTGGCGAGGGTGATCCGGAACGGTCGAGGCTAATCTCGCTTCTTGCTACATCGCAGTCTTTCCTTTCGCAGAGAAATCGAGCATCCGCTTTCTCCGTTTCGGCGCTCGAAATTCGAATTGAAGTACTCGCGTTCTTTCCAGTCCCTGTGTCCGCACGCTGCTGTTCCTCCGGAGCTCGGAGTTGTTCCAACGAAGGTCCGCCGCGTTTTCTGGTAATGTGAAAAATAGCTGTATCAACGCGGTTCGAATAAAACACAGCGTCCACGTTGGTAGTTATAAATCACGGCCGACCACGGGAACGCTCGTTATCGTAAGTTAAAAATATACCGTCCAGAAAATTCTTCCGCCAGCCAGACCATGGATTTTCGTTATCTACGCCTACGTACATGGAAATCGCCATAGCGAGCGACTATTTAAAGCTGTCCCCTACAGGTCCACTTCCGGTCCGAATACGCGTCCCGAGTGCGAGATCCGGTTACCGCGTGACGATTATGAGGTCACCTGCGACAGAGCGTGATTTATGGCAGGCTTTCGAAAGGTGGCGTATATGTTCACCTGAAATCGAAAAACTGTGTTTCAATGGAAAATCGAATTGTTCTCCTTGGAACGGTTTAAGCATTCTCCTCGAAAGCGCCAATTCGCGGCTCCCACTGTCCTTTTTTTCTTTTTTCTTTCATCCTCGATGCCTGCGCGCGCTCGAGAACCGTTTTTCCGTCGAGTCCGCACAACATTATAGAATGTCGCGGCATGTCGTAACTGATCGACAAGATCGCCGCCTGTCTTTATAAGGATCTACGAACGTAACAAGGAGAGCCGAGCGCGAGTCGTTCTAATTTGACATCGTCCGTGAAAAATCTTGACAAACAAGGCTAAAATGATACACAACGGTTGTTACTTCTACAAGCAGCATGGAAAGACTGTGCGGTCTACGGCAGTGACAAAAAGTTCGTCACGGCAACTCGCGTTTAATCGAGCATTTTACCAACTTTCAATTTCACTTTGTTCTCTTCGTATCTGTTTGTAACGATGATGGGTTTTTGGGAAACACACGAGTCCTTTCGAAATTTCCGATTTGGAAATACAGTAAATTCTCCCTATATATAATTTTCCTTCGGCTTGTAAATAAAACGTGGACAATTTGGGAAGAAGAGATTCGATAGTACGATCAGCTCGCTTTTCAGTTGACATCGGCAACTGTAAAAATGAGCTCGAATAATCGTATCTCTTCTTACCAAATTGTCAATTCTTGCTCACAAGCTGAAAAAAAATTGGGGAAAATTTACAGAACTGTATTTCAGCCGTTGTACAATCGAAGATTCGAATAATGGCCCAATCAGAGGGCATGTCGAATAAAGCGATGCTCTCGTCGATCGATTAACAATTTTAGGCGTTCGAAACATAGCAATCGGGTACCGCAGAAAATAATGAAACGAACACTCGGTTAAAACGAACGAGATATATTCGAAACGTTCGCAACACTTGATGGCCCGCTTTCAACAAAAGACACTCCCCACCAAAAATATTACTGCAAACTTAAACGCTATGTTCTAAAAGTAATATTTTCAGCCGGCGCGTATGTCCGCTGTGTACGTGCCGGTGCCAAATCGTGAACGTAATCTGCTCTTTATCTTCGCATGCTTCTCCGCTCTGGTGTCACGTTTTGCTTAAACGTGATGCATCGGTCAGCCGAGTCCATGCACGCACGCACGTACGTAACGTTGTTTCCCATGAACGGCGGACGGTTCTTGAAAATACGGTCGTCTTCCGATCGGAGATAAGGAACGGATCCAACCGAAGGAAACGCAACTCTTAATCGGTGTTTTTAGGCACGACGCGCCACTATAGTGGCTTCCGCGGATGTCATCTTTCAGAACGACACGCCACTATAGTGGCTTTCACGGATGTCATCTCTCTGGACGACGCGCCACTATAGTGGCTTGCTCTAGTAGCTCACTCGCTCATCGTTTGAACCAAATAATCGTCTTCGTATGCATTGTTTCACACTCCTTTTGTCTTCGCATCGATTTACAACAGTCTATAGGGTGTCCCAAAAATGTCTCGCAATCCGGAAATGGCGGGTTCCTCGGATCATTTGAAGCAACTTCTTCCTTTACAAAAATGTTCTCCGAGGCACCGTTAACGAGTTATTAACGAAAAACAGTGACCAATAAGAATCGAGTACGGCTAACGCGAGGCGGCCCAGCTAACCAGCGCACGAAGCCCAGTTCCGCTCATTGGTTCGATCGCCTCTCAATGGTCACTGTTTTTCGTTAATAACTCGTTAACGGTGCCTCGGAGAACATTTTTGTAAAGGAAGAAGTTGCTTCAAATGATCCGAGGAACCCGCCATTTCCGGATTGCGAGACATTTTTGGGACACCTTGAATATACAGTATCATACTCTGTACAGTACACATCAGACTCTGCCGTCCAGAGAAATAGCCTCGCGCAGAATTCAGCCGTACCTAAACGCCGTCCTGCAACGCGGTGTCGCTGGTTTGCCAACAGGTTCGCCGGTCGTTGCTACCCGACGCAACGGTGTCTCATCGTTGCTAAATTCTCTATTAAATCGTCCACTTATCGGACGCATAGGAAACGCAAAGTCCGCTTCTTGTACCGGATATAGCGCGTCGACGTGATCGCGTCTCGACACGAGAGATCGATTTGTTCTACGTGCATGGCACGGATATAAAGCTACTCGCTTTTATGGCACGCCGAAATACCAGCGCTACGCCCTATCGAGATGACCTTTGCTTCAGATAAAGCTGTCTCCTACAAAGAATAAGCCAGATACTGCGGCGTCCCGATCGTAACGAACATGTTTACGGTTCCTGATGCTGAATTAATAAAAGTCACTTATCTTCGGATACGTTTATGAATCGTTATTAACGGACGCTACGTTCCGAGCTCGAACGGGCATAAATAAAACGGTCCGAATCGAAATCGAAATCTGCGAGAAAACTGGTCTCTCGAGGGTATCTCCTCCCTCGTGGTCTGAAAAAAATATAGCAACACGGTATCCCTCTATCGGAAGTCGAATCCTTTCGTACCGTTTTTCTGTATCTGTTTCGTGGAAGATTCTCGTGCGGACGCGAGAATGAAAAATATCACGTGATGTAAAAAGAATATCGGAGCTTCGCCGACCTTGCCGGAGATACCTATAAGAACGCGCACACCAGCCCGCAGCGCAGCTTTGTTGACGCCACCAAGCGAGCATTCTGGCTGTTATCGCTGTGAAACCGGTTCGCCGTTGGATTTATTCGGTTTCGATATCGACTGCTGCTGGGGGAGTTCAAGAAGGCAGCCGACGATTAGCAATGTCGTCGGACGTCGCGCCGTTCTTAGCCAATTACCAAGACTTTTTTCATTCCGACGCGATTCGCGTACGCGCACGTCATCGTGCGGCCGGCGATAAGGCGCGATGTAGAAAAATAATCGAAAGAAATCCTATTATTCCGAGATATCCGAAATCTAATTAAATTCACTTTCCTTGAGTTTTCTGCCTCGCGCTGGAAATTCAATGGAGTTTCCAGCGTGCTATGTGCACGCGATCGAGTCGTGGTTAATCTAATTAGTCGCGCGTTCCTCGCGCCATTTAATTTCTCTTGCTCGGTCGTGCTCTCTTATCGGATCGAGCGCCAACCGCTCTCGTTCACCGGGTTACTCTTGTGTATCCAATATAATCATTTATTAATTCACTAGATACAAGTACTGTTTCCTCTTTTTTTTCTTTTTAGTTTCGTACCTCTCGCGTGCAAAACAATGTTCGCACACGGCGTGTTCTCTTATTACCGTACGACGGCTGGGTAGGATCGCTCGATTAACGTTCAGTGAATTAGTTTATCATTCGAAATAAGAGAATAACGAACTTTAGTATGACATAATGATGGATACAAGTAAAATGTAAGCGTATGTTCAAGTTCGTGATGGACGATAAACTGCGCAATTGGTCGACTTTGATTCCTTAGATGACAGTTCGTTTAAATATGATTAATCGGTCCTCTTGGTGTGATAAAAGTTAATGTTTATCATCGTTTTTTAATCATTTCATCTATCATTATTATTATTTAGCGGTAACCTTGCCGAAGATTTTTGTACACAATGTACAGAAGGTGTATAAAATTGTTCTTTTCTTTCGTTTTGCACCACGCACCGTATAAGTCGATTTAGTAAACAACAATCATCACTCCTCGGTGCATTCTCGGTATCGCAAATATTACGGTGATCGTTGTCTTATATTTATAAACTGACAAGCGATCATCATTATAAATAATTGTCCATTTTACCATCATTCATACCATGGTATCTTCTTCGTACCGGAATATACAGATAAAAGATTTGTCTCCGCGCATGATCGACACAGTTTCGAGAAAATTACATATACATACATATAAATATATATATATATATTTATATATATATTATATTATATATTCATATATATATACAATACATATTATTATTTATGTATATATGTATTTCTCTGAAGTATTATAAAATAACCGATCGTTATTCCGATCATGAACATAAAACTACATAACACGCGTATGCATACTTTGGCAATTTCATTAAATAATTATTATGTAACATTTTTGTAATCAAGCCAGAGACTTGTATAAAAATTCATTCAATAATGATCGAATAATATGGATTCTTGAAAATCAATCCACACCGTCTAAAGCGCGAGACTTCGCACGATAGAATAACAGAATTGACCGTTCAAGAATTGTGTCGATCATGTAACCACGTTGATATACACTGTACGCGATAATTATATCTGTCATCAAAATGATATATTATAGACAATTTTATTATTTTACTCGGTTATATTCAGTCCCGTTCGCCTCTTTCTTCGGCACGTTCTTCCGCCCTCGCTTTCATTCTAGTAATAAATGCTTGACCTTTGCTTTTTCTAAAATTCTCGTACGGATCGTTTAGATTAATACCGACGCCCTTATACTGATCATTTTTATCTCTAATTTCACCTCCCGAAATAGGAGCTTCGATACCCTGTTCATTGGCACCAAGTCCTGCACCACCCCAACCCATTTTCTTGAGCAACTGATGGCCTTTGTTACTTTCGTCTATGCCAATTTCTTGAGGAGCCTTACTGTAAGTTGATCCACTGAAACAAGGTATTCCAAAATCAATTTCCGGATTCGACTATCGAGCTACGTACTAATTATTAACTTGCGGATTTTATACGTTTATGAGAAAAATTAGTGAATCGAATATGAAACAATTATTAATGATATATTATTGCTTACAGAAAACTGGGCGGTGTCGGACTCCGATCTTGTCTATCCAACCGTCGATCAGGACTTCTATCTTTGTTGCTATTCCTTCTCCTCCTACTTCTGTTGTTGTGGTTGCTATTCCGACTATTACGCCTGTGATTAGTTGCCGGCGATCTGGATCTGCTTCTACCTCTCGATCTTGACCGCGATCTACTTCTCGATTTACTTCGATATCGTTTCTTTGGTGGACTAGGACTTTTCGATCTCGGCCTCAAAATCGGCGATGGTGATTTCGATTTTTGTCTTATACCGGCTACGACATCCTCTTCTTTACGCTTCCGTGCGGCATTCTTTGCTTTATAATACTCGTATAAACCTAACTTCTCCCATCCATCGCTGGAACAAATAATACGTATACGATTCGCGAGGCGTTCGTTATATCATCGATGAATTGAAAATTCTATTTAATCGAATTTTACCTGTCGCGCGGTGAATCGTGATTCGGCGGCGCGTAGAATGCTTCTACAGCCGCTACTAATCTTTCGCTTGGTGGAGCAGGCGGTGGCAGTCTAATAGCATCTGGGTCTAATGGTTTGTATTCAGCGTCTTCTAATTTAATCAGAGGTACCATCAAACCAGCAGGAAGTTCGTAGTAAGGCATACTGGGCATTAAATCTTCAACGGATGGTTCATGTATAACAGGCGGCGGACCAAATCCAGGCGGAGGTTTCGAAAAGTCTGGTAGTGGAACGTTTGTGAACGGCGGAGGATCGTTTCCAGGTGGTACACCCCACCCAGGAGGTGGTTGACTGAAATTTACATCTGTGCCTATCGGAGCCGGAGGACCGGAATGACTAGGTGGCATAGACATATTCTGCTGATTCTGTAAAATATCTTTCTTCTGTTAGATCATCCTTGTGGTTTACAAATCAACATTTAATGGAGATTGTCTGCGTACCAGTTGAGGCGGCGGCGGCGGCGGCGGGGCTTTCAATTGCTGATCAATTGCTATTTTTTGTTGCTCAATGTTTTGAATTTGTCGCAACGCATGAGTAACGAACGCTTGATGCTGTGCTTGATAATTATCGAAAGTCTGCTTCGTTGACGTTGTGATTGGTGTAATTGCACTAGCATGTTGTGCCACCAGATTAGCCTGATATTCAGACCAAGATGCACTTGGCTGCTTCAATTTATCTATAATTCCTTCATCAAAGTAATTATTTTTTGATTCCCACAAACTTAGCAGTTTATTTAGTTTATTAAGTTGTTCTTCCGATGCAGCTAGTGAAGTGTTACAGAACATGGGTACAACAACACTTTCCATCGCCTTGCGAAGATCCATAGACTTTTTTCTTGCACTAAAGAAGTTTAACATTAAATACCGAGCACAAACGTTGTCAAACTTTAACAAACTATACATTCTATTGTAATGAAACTGATTGTTTACATTCGTCGCATTACGAGATACGCTTATAATAATGAGTATGTGTATATTTATGGAGCACTCAATTTTTGCAATCATCCAAAGTATGTGTAATCCGCGAATGATTTGTTATTAAGTATCATGGTACTTACCAATGATGCAAAACGTCATTCACCAAATAGATAATATGAAGTTTGTGACTAAAATTTGTTGCTTGAATTACTCTGAAATAAATAATATTTTTTTTTAATGGGAATGCTATGTGTAGTCTCGAAATAATCCAACAGAAGTTCTAAGAGTGACATACTTTTTCAGTAAATGATCCGCAACAACTTGATTACTTTGCGGAGTAACAGAATTCTGTAGTATCCATGCCTTTCCCGCACTTATGCTATCTTTTGTGCAGCTATCGATAATCGGTTGTAACACTGCGTCGAATGCAGCAAGATCTGTGCTTGTGCTTTGTGCACTATTTTGTAAAGCAGTTTCTTGAGCTTGTCTAACAGCATCCTCAACCCTTCCTTGTTGCTGCGCCATCAATGCAGCATGTTGTGCAGCCAGATTTTGTTCCGATTGTCTAACTTGTTCCTGTAGCGTGGTTTGCTGCGATTGCAGATTTGCTAGTTCATTCTGAAGCCATCCGGGGGGTCCGCCAATGTTAACCGGTTGTGTGACTCCAGCAATTGGTGGATTTACACCTCCCATAGCACCAGGGACTGGTCCAATCGGCGGTCCTGCATTTCCTGGTCCTCCAATTTGTCCAGGTACTCCAGGTATAACGGGACCAGCTTGATTTCCCACTGGTCCAATTCCCACTACTGGGTTCAATCCATTGTTTTGAGTATTTAGGCCAGGTGCAAGATTGACGTTATTCAGTGGCTGCGCGACGGTAGCGGCTGTTTGCTGCTGCTGCGAAACGTTTAAACGTGGGTCTGCATTTTGCATTGGATTTATTCCTTTTTGCTTTAAAACTGTAAACGAATGACGGTGGATTATTGTAAGATGTTTGATTCCTTCAATGGATATTGAAAAAGTATACAAATAGTCCAATTTCTGTTGAGTCTTATCTTCTACCAGTGCATAATAAAATTCTTGGCATTTATGAGAGAAGTATATCGTGAAAATTCAATAAGTCTTTTGGGAACACTATATTCTTCCCTGTTTTTTATACATATATATATATATACATACATATACATACATTTTTACTTTTTTTTACAGTACTAGGGTATTACAGGGCGCATAGTTATTGTAGATGGATTATAGTTCCCATATAGATTGAAGCAATATATTGACAATGTAGTCCGTATTAGACAAGCTTCAGTAAGAATCTTAAAACTACATCTTCTTAAAATCACCATTGCCAAGAAATAGAATATGTCTTTAGCTAAAGCATTCTGCTTAATAAATAGCAATCCCAAAATCTTGAAATGAAGTGCTGATATTCGATGAATAATAGTTTTGTACATTCACAATGACGAACTCAGACCCTTTCACCCGTATCTCTTTTTTCAAAGTCATTCCTCGTTTCGTTGAATAAAGCATGGCCATTATGCTTCTCAATTGTTGTAGCTGTTAAGGGGCTGTATCCCACTTACTGGCTTGCTCTGTAGTCACTTTGTATTGATAGTAGTTGAAGTGCTCTCCACCGAACAGGAAACCAAACTTTGGATTGTCCTTCTGCTTGTTTTTTGTCATCTGCTCGAACTCTGGTCCATTGCGAGCCACAAACTGTGCCAGTTTGTCTATGATGTTCCTTAACTCTGTATCTGGGTATTACACCAAAATGCACAGAATTAGTGTGTCGATCGTCTATGCACGTGAGATTACTTAAACAGGTATTACAATAAAAATGGCAATATTTAAATACAGTACTGAAATAGGATCTCTTATTTATAAAGTATGCAGTCCTAAATCAGCCCATCGTAAACCTGAAATATTGAATTTGTTTTGAAGGTTGTCGTTTTGTGAATATTTCTACGAAGATCTGTCTGTAGATAATTTAATTCATCGATCGAATAATTTTATAGTGGTAACCTAATGTGTGTTGCACAGGTTTACATAACCTACTATCGAGAATTTAGCTTTTTTTTTTCTTTTCCGAATATGTTTTGTTACTTGCGTCGTGTCACAACTCACAAATCTTGAATTCTGACTAACTAAAATGCTAAAATGATAATTCACAGACATTACGATTAATAAGAAAAGAAGATTGTTAATATGCTCGCTGAGAGAGGGAATGTGCAAGACCGTGTTTCGTCGAACCGCTAGATCACAACATTCGTTTCTTACCTGCAGGTGCCTGGTCCATTATCACGATTACTCTTTTGCTTTTGCGCTGAATTGGAGTACGTTCCTTTTTAGTTTTATTAACACCTTTTTACACACGATCGAACCTCAACTCCGGGAAACATTATTTTTTTACAATGAACACGACAACGCTAGACGTCGCCATTAATTTCAGAGAATCACGTTTCATAGGATTGCCGCCAGAGCCAAAGCCGCTGGCACGCCAATCATTTATATGTACAGATACGGAGAAAATGAGAGTGTCACGCCCGGCTTTTCGGCGCGCTCCTTGCAGTGCTCCCAACATAACAACATGGAACCACAAGATGGCTCTGATGGCTCACACAGATCGGATCAAAGCAATGTTAGTTGTAGTTTCATGTTGCTGAGATGGCGGTACAATAGCAATCGCACCGAAAATTCGAATGTAGATCCTCTCATTTGTTCTCTTGATATTATGTACGTAGTACAAGAGTTCAGTTCAGTTCGCCATTAGTATCGCCATCGCCATTGCAAATTTTGCACAGATTAGTGTACAAACAAGTAGTGTATTGTCACAAGTCTCGATCTTCCCGTGATTTCTTGAAGTTCCAACTATTTACGGTAACATAATTTCAATGAAATATCACTTTCGTTGCCGATAAATTACGTTTACGTTTTCTTAATCGTGTTTCCGTAAACGTGTTTAATGGTCATCTGTTCGTGGTATACTACGACTGTATTCCACTCCTTCGTTTGTCAATGTTATTTCTATTCAGTATCTTATTCCCATTTTATGAAGTTTTATGTTGTACGTATTATAATCTTGTTCGACAAATTATCATATCGCGTTTGTCATATACATAACACTTGTTTTGTTAATCACCATACATTTCGTGAAAATAGGAAACGATCGGAAGAAGAATTAGAAGAAACGAATTTATTTGACATTAGTTACGTAAACTGCAAGGATGCCGGTAGCAGATGTAAAATCCAGTTGGGCTGATGAAGTTGAAGAAGAAGTAGCAGCATTACCATCACCGTCAGAAATTTATGAAAATGGATTCAAGGTTCTTACCGAGTACAAGTACAACCAAGACAATAAAAAAGTCAAAGTTGTCCGTACGTATAAAATAGAAAAACGTATAGTTTCAAAGACAATTGCTGTACGTAAAAATTGGGCTAAGTTTGGAGATTCTGTGGATGATAGACCCGGACCCAATCCTGCCACTACCGTCGGTGGTGAAGATGTATTTATGCAGTTCATATCTAGCAAGGAAGAAGAAAATAAGGTTGAGGAAGATAATCTTGATAAATTGAAAAACATGGGTGACAAAGGCGTGGTTAAATGCCGTAATTGTAACGGAGACCATTGGACTTCAAAGTGTCCTTATAAAGATACGGTTCTTGCTGGAGGTATGTTCGTTACTATGAATTTAAATATTAAATTAATACTTTAATTAATAATTTAATACTTTAAAATTTACCTTTTTAGGAAAAGTACCGGATGACAAGAAACCGCTTATTAATGCTGGCGCTCCCGGTGCAGTGGCCGAATTGAAGCCTCAAGGTAGCAAATATGTTCCACCTAGTATGCGCGACGGTGGCAATAAACGAGGGGATGCCATGCAAATGCAAAGACGCGATGACATCACTACCATTCGTATCTCCAATTTATCAGAAAGTACTACAGACGCAGATTTGGAAGAGCTTGTTAAACCGTTTGGAACGGTGCTAAAATTTTATCTTCCTAAAGACAAGCAAACCAATCTTTGTAAAGGATTTGCGTACGTCCACTTTAAATATAGAGTGGAAGCTGCAAAAGCTATTGCTACGCTCAATGGTTATGGTTATGACCATCTTATTCTAAATGTAGATTGGTCAAAGCCGCAGACGCAAAATAATTAAATGTGATGAAATAAAAATTTAAAACCGGCTGTTTGGCGTTCGTACTCTTAATTGTAACACCATATGCAAAATACAATCAAGTATTTAATATATTAGGGGGACCGGAAAGTAATGTCGTTTCTGCGCATATTTATCTGTTTGAATTTAATGTAAACAAACGACATAACTTTCCGGTCCACCTAATAAATTCTTAATACCTTATGAAAGAAAGCTAAGGTATATTTGGTCGAATATTGATAGTATTAATATAAATATGTTAATTAGATGTGACCAACTCTTTCTATATAAGTCTTTTGCTTGTGGTGTTACAATTTCTTGTCAGTTTAATTAAAAAATGTACTATTTACTATTTTATAAATATAAAGTGGCAATGTATCTATTACATCAATTTGTATTTCTAGCATTCTTCTGCTTGAAAATAAATCATATGCCGTAAGTTCTTGCATTATTTGCTTAGATCATATAATGTATAAGAGATAAATGTCAAAGAAAATGCGTTTTTCTCGAAGCTGTATTCTCAATATCGGTGACGAGAATATCTCGAAAAGTACTGTATCGATTTGGGCGAAATTTTCGCAGCCTTTTTTGCATACAAAAAATTTGTCCTTAACGAAGGATTTTTTTCCGTTGAGTATTTCGGTTTTTATAGCCTGGAAACCTAGCTATTTTTCATCAAGAATCTAAACTTTTACTTCGAACGTCTGCCATTTTGTCAAAAATCCTCCATTACTTTTGGTACATGATTTGGGATAACCGTGGACCGCAGTTGCGTATACTTACATTCGCATATATTGTGAATTATTTTTAATNCTTTAATTAATAATTTAATACTTTAAAATTTACCTTTTTAGGAAAAGTACCGGATGACAAGAAACCGCTTATTAATGCTGGCGCTCCCGGTGCAGTGGCCGAATTGAAGCCTCAAGGTAGCAAATATGTTCCACCTAGTATGCGCGACGGTGGCAATAAACGAGGGGATGCCATGCAAATGCAAAGACGCGATGACATCACTACCATTCGTATCTCCAATTTATCAGAAAGTACTACAGACGCAGATTTGGAAGAGCTTGTTAAACCGTTTGGAACGGTGCTAAAATTTTATCTTCCTAAAGACAAGCAAACCAATCTTTGTAAAGGATTTGCGTACGTCCACTTTAAATATAGAGTGGAAGCTGCAAAAGCTATTGCTACGCTCAATGGTTATGGTTATGACCATCTTATTCTAAATGTAGATTGGTCAAAGCCGCAGACGCAAAATAATTAAATGTGATGAAATAAAAATTTAAAACCGGCTGTTTGGCGTTCGTACTCTTAATTGTAACACCATATGCAAAATACAATCAAGTATTTAATATATTAGGGGGACCGGAAAGTAATGTCGTTTCTGCGCATATTTATCTGTTTGAATTTAATGTAAACAAACGACATAACTTTCCGGTCCACCTAATAAATTCTTAATACCTTATGAAAGAAAGCTAAGGTATATTTGGTCGAATATTGATAGTATTAATATAAATATGTTAATTAGATGTGACCAACTCTTTCTATATAAGTCTTTTGCTTGTGGTGTTACAATTTCTTGTCAGTTTAATTAAAAAATGTACTATTTACTATTTTATAAATATAAAGTGGCAATGTATCTATTACATCAATTTGTATTTCTAGCATTCTTCTGCTTGAAAATAAATCATATGCCGTAAGTTCTTGCATTATTTGCTTAGATCATATAATGTATAAGAGATAAATGTCAAAGAAAATGCGTTTTTCTCGAAGCTGTATTCTCAATATCGGTGACGAGAATATCTCGAAAAGTACTGTATCGATTTGGGCGAAATTTTCGCAGCCTTTTTTGCATACAAAAAATTTGTCCTTAACGAAGGATTTTTTTCCGTTGAGTATTTCGGTTTTTATAGCCTGGAAACCTAGCTATTTTTCATCAAGAATCTAAACTTTTACTTCGAACGTCTGCCATTTTGTCAAAAATCCTCCATTACTTTTGGTACATGATTTGGGATAACCGTGGACCGCAGTTGCGTATACTTACATTCGCATATATTGTGAATTATTTTTAATAACATTATTAGACGAAAAAAAGTGTTATAATTTCATTTATTTTAAATTCTCAATGCGAGTTATATACATAATACCAGATATCTCTCCGATAATACTTATAATACGATTTATTTTAGTATAATGAACTTTTTATAGAAAATTAAATTTTAAATAAATATAATAAACAACAAAAATCTTGGTACATGGTTCGTTAACTTTCAAGATTAACGAAGATTCTATAGTAATAAAATTATATGATTTATCGTTGGTTTACATAGCTCGAGTGTTGAATTATAAAAAGAAAATTATTTTCTCGCGTTCAAAGTGAAATATTTCTCGTTTAAAGGATTACGTTACTTACAAAATTTTCATTTATTATTATTCAACGGATTAGATATACAACAACGAAAATTTCCGCTAAAACACTTCTTCGATCTCTCTTTATATTAAAACTTTATGCTCAACAACTACGCTAGATACACATTAATCTATTTAAACTTAAGTTAATACAGTATTGCAATAAATAGGAGTATCGCGGTTCTATGCTAAATGTAACCTTGTCGATGGAAAATGGTAACAAAGAAATTACAATTTCCAAATATACCCTTACGAGGTGGAAGATCGCTATAATATACGTAGATGGAAAAAAGCAAAAAAAAAACGGTAGAAAAGTAATCACAGGCGGTTTCTTCGTTGCCTGCGGTGTAATTGTGTTAATTAGAAACTACGAATAATACTACGTCGTCCAAGTACTTAAAAATGGTAACTCTAATCAACAACCTTATACTGCTCAACGGAGCCTAACGAACATTACACAGATAGCAAAAGCACATTGACTTTGTATGTCCATAGAACAATATTATTTGAAAATATAATTAACAGTTATATATGCGTCCTGTAGTTTTTCTTGCGGGTCACCTTAATGGCAAAACCAAAAGACCGTGTCAGTATTTATTGTCAAACTCCCTATAAAATCATCACAGTTTTAACGCGTGTACGTTTTCTCTTTAAGGACTCGAACCCAATTGTACGTTTTCCGATATATATATATATATGTTATATATTCTGTCCAACGTAATTCTATTAAAAAATTGTCATGGCGTGCCATCTCGGTTACCTTTTTTTTTTCTTCCTAATCTTATATACAATACTCGCGTCGCTCATATATAACTTTCTCTTATAAAAAGGACTTATGTATTAATAAACAAATGTTACAGTGGTGGATGCGTTACCGGTATAGCCAACCATGCGATTCTATAGTTGTTCACGAGGACGAGGATTCCTCCTGAAATAGCACAACTATGCCCTCGAAATTGAATTTCGTCAGTTCCACCAATAAGTACCGTCACTGTTTTTTACCCCCCGTTCAATGGATACTGTGAGGATCGATCGCAATCCGTTAAAATTCACACGAACTTTATGTGTGTAACAGTTTTTTCGATCGGACAAAATTTAGGTCTCCGGTAGGACCAGAAAGATCCCCGTCGGACCATCGATGTCCTAGAAAGCGTCGAAAGACAACGAGCTTAACCAATGGCAGCCGCTTACTGAGCTCTTCCGTCTGGAGGTCCGCTTTTACCAGACCGAGCACTTCTTTTCGGGATTCATCTTCGAGCCAACTGGACAATTGAAGTCCTCCGAGAACTCCTCCATGTTCGAGAGCGGACCTAGCACACGGAATTTACCCGGACTGTGGAACCCGGTGGTGATGCGGAGCTTCATCGCTTCCGGTCTGTACTTGCTGCACCAGGTGTTCGCCGCACTGATCCAGAACAATTGTTCCGGTGTGTACGGAAGCCCTGGTAATCGCGATTCCTTGTGGTTCCGTTCGACCCACTTTTTGTACGCCAAATACGCCTCCTTTATACCACCGTTGTCGGCTATGTTTTCTCCTTGGGTGTTTATACCGTTTAACTGGAAGAAGGTCAAAAAAAAAAAGAAACGTTCAACGATTATTTGCGTCGATCGGATGACTAACGTTCTATCGGTTCTCCGAACTTCCATCTTGGACAATGCGTTAACAAAAAATCTAATATCCCCTAGATAAAAGTATCTTACATTCGTTAAGAAAATAACACCGACGAATTTATGGGTCGTCGTCGTTATTGTTGGATATAAATCGGAAATATATAATCGAATCGTTTCGTTCGCGATCTTCAAGGGAATCTAATTCGAAACATTTTTCTATTTTGAATAGCCGCTATTCCATTTCCGCCCATTGTCCATCGTACGACCAACAATTGTTCGGGAATTGGTTGAACAATTGTTCGAAAGAAAATGCCACGATCGTCGACAAAATAAAACAAGCCAACTTCCCGAAGCTGACTAGCTCTCTCCGCACACTTCCCTCGCTTATCTAGCGTACTATTTAGCAGCGGCGTGCACCCAGTTTGACCTCCTCGGGTAAGTACAAGCCTGCGTCACAAGTGTCGGTACTTTTTATCATTCAAGACCGCCGACTAGATTCGCGTATACTATTTGCATAACCCGTGCGATAATACGTGCTTAGACAATGTGTTCGCCTAAAAAGCAGCCCGCCGTTCCGGTATTCCGCATTCGTACACGATTTTTATCGAGCGATCATTCGAAAACGGTTCACGCACGCTAAAATAGGTGCCGGAGGTTGTTTCGCTTACGTTCAGGCCCACGTCTTCGACCGTGTAATTTCCGTATTGATGAATAATGCACTCCGCTCTTTCCAGATAGTTCTCCTTTGTCTCCGGCTCCCACCAATCGACCAGATTCCCCGCCTTGTCGAACTGCCTGCCCTGATCGTCGAATCCGTGCGTTATTTCATGGCCGATAACGAACCCGATGGCGCCGTAGTTCATGTACTTAGGCCGGTCGTTGTTGAAGAAAGCGCCCTGCAGAATGCCGGCGGGAAATTCTGCGGGCAACGCGTTGCGTAATTAAGCTCTATTATTATTATATAGGTTATATAATAATATTATAATTATTATTATATAATTATAATAATATTATTATTATAATATATATTATATTTTATTATTAGGTTATTTAGGCTCTATTATAATTTAGCTCTGTTTAGAAGTACTCACGGATACTGTTCTCGATGGACGAGTAGTACGCGTTCACAACCGCCGGCCTTCCGTGCGTGATCCAATCGGTCTTGTTCACGGGCTTCCTCAGCTTCCCGAACGAGTACTCCAACCCGAACAGCGTCAGGTTCAAGATACCCTCCAAATAATTGTCGGTGGTCAGTTCGAGTTTCTGGTAGAAGTCCTCGAGCTTCTTGTCGTCCAGAAGTTCGTCGGGGTACGCGATGTGGCTGGACATCGACGCCGCCTTGTCCAGCGCACTCTTCCTCGTCTCATCGTCCATCCAATCGACCTGAAGGATGATCTCGCATATCATCTATTAGCAACGAGTTCGACGTAACAATGCACCGCGAGACAGTTAAACGCACCTTCTTCAGTATCTCTTTGAATTCCTCCCGGATGTCGGCCACCATATCCAAAGCGTTCTTCTTCGCGTCCTCCTTGAAGTACTTTCGAACGTACATGGCGCCGACGCTGATGCCCAAGCTACCGGAAACGGTGTCGATACACTCCTTCCATCTCGGCTCCCTTTCCGTCCTTCCGCTCAACGCCGTGGAATATTGCAGCTGCCTTTTGCGGATCTCCTCGGTAAGATAGCTCACGGACGAGGCGGCAGCCCTCCACATCACATAATTTGCTTGGACCCTCTTAGGCGTGCTGGCCAATAGCTCCTCCAAGCTCGAGATGTAGCTGAGAACGCTGACGATTACGACTTCGTCGTCGTCCACTTGGAGATTTGGCGCCAGAAGGGTGTTGAAGTATTCCTTCCACGGAATGCTGCGGTAACTCTTCGACAAATCCCGCACGGTCATGGGGTTGTAGAGGAGGGTGGCGTTACGGCGTTTCTCGTTCGGCAAAGAAATCTGCGGGTCGACGCTTCCGATGAGTACATTCACGCATTGTCATTTTAATCGATAGCTATCGAAACGTGTCAGTTATTTAACCCCTTGCCATCACGAGCCTGACACGTGATGGAGATTTCTAGTAATAACCTGTTAAATATGAACGCTATTTCGCTCTCTTTAGTACGAATAAAATTCTGATTTCTTTTAATCGGTATTTAAACGTTTAAGTAAATGTAGACACGCGATAAATACAGATTGTCTTTTTNATATATATTATATTTTATTATTAGGTTATTTAGGCTCTATTATAATTTAGCTCTGTTTAGAAGTACTCACGGATACTGTTCTCGATGGACGAGTAGTACGCGTTCACAACCGCCGGCCTTCCGTGCGTGATCCAATCGGTCTTGTTCACGGGCTTCCTCAGCTTCCCGAACGAGTACTCCAACCCGAACAGCGTCAGGTTCAAGATACCCTCCAAATAATTGTCGGTGGTCAGTTCGAGTTTCTGGTAGAAGTCCTCGAGCTTCTTGTCGTCCAGAAGTTCGTCGGGGTACGCGATGTGGCTGGACATCGACGCCGCCTTGTCCAGCGCACTCTTCCTCGTCTCATCGTCCATCCAATCGACCTGAAGGATGATCTCGCATATCATCTATTAGCAACGAGTTCGACGTAACAATGCACCGCGAGACAGTTAAACGCACCTTCTTCAGTATCTCTTTGAATTCCTCCCGGATGTCGGCCACCATATCCAAAGCGTTCTTCTTCGCGTCCTCCTTGAAGTACTTTCGAACGTACATGGCGCCGACGCTGATGCCCAAGCTACCGGAAACGGTGTCGATACACTCCTTCCATCTCGGCTCCCTTTCCGTCCTTCCGCTCAACGCCGTGGAATATTGCAGCTGCCTTTTGCGGATCTCCTCGGTAAGATAGCTCACGGACGAGGCGGCAGCCCTCCACATCACATAATTTGCTTGGACCCTCTTAGGCGTGCTGGCCAATAGCTCCTCCAAGCTCGAGATGTAGCTGAGAACGCTGACGATTACGACTTCGTCGTCGTCCACTTGGAGATTTGGCGCCAGAAGGGTGTTGAAGTATTCCTTCCACGGAATGCTGCGGTAACTCTTCGACAAATCCCGCACGGTCATGGGGTTGTAGAGGAGGGTGGCGTTACGGCGTTTCTCGTTCGGCAAAGAAATCTGCGGGTCGACGCTTCCGATGAGTACATTCACGCATTGTCATTTTAATCGATAGCTATCGAAACGTGTCAGTTATTTAACCCCTTGCCATCACGAGCCTGACACGTGATGGAGATTTCTAGTAATAACCTGTTAAATATGAACGCTATTTCGCTCTCTTTAGTACGAATAAAATTCTGATTTCTTTTAATCGGTATTTAAACGTTTAAGTAAATGTAGACACGCGATAAATACAGATTGTCTTTTTTCTTCTTAGAAATTATTACAATCGAAAAACTTCTAATCGTTGCAACTCTGAAAGGGTTAAGGGGTTAATCCATTGTTCTCCGAAGAAAGCGACAGTGTAAGTTCGAAATTGGAATGTTTCTGTTTCTTTCGTTGACTTATCCTGATGCTGCATATTCTCAATTTTCTCGTAAGTGAGGGAATCGAATTTATAATTTCGATTCTCTAAAGGAATCGAATAAAAATTGCGTTCAATCGTTACGCGGTATCGCTGTTTTAATCATTTTAAATCTTCATAGTTTTTAGTCTAATTTCAAGCCTTCGTAGTTCTGTATTTTTCCTATTCATTTTCGTAACGAATAAATCTACGATCTAATAATAAATTAGTAGAACACTCGGAACTTGAATCGTTGCTTTTCATACTTACATTAGCAAGCTTCATCTCAAACTCCAGCGATTGCCTTAATTCCGTTTTCGCCGTAGCCTTGTCAACGCCTAGAATTGCCGCGATATCCACCATATAGTTGTAGTACGCTTGCACGATTTTGTCATCGAAACCCTTCGACAAATATTCCCTCGAGAGTCCAAGGGATGCTTGATCGAGCTGTAAAACCATATTCCTAAACAGGGTGTCCTAAAATTATGGTACAAGCGAGAGGTTCCCGAGGTCATTCGAAGTAATTTTTTTTCCTTAGCGAAAATGCCCACCCTGTATACTACGTTTCCATTACATTATGGACACGTTGGCATTGAAATCGGCGCGGCGTGTACGAACGCTCTTTAAAACCGCACGCTGCAACATTACCGAGACGTTAAGAGTTTCTGTAAACATTGATTTATCCACTTTCCCTCTCTGCACATAAGTCGTTAGCCATTATTGCATTACATAATACCGCTAAGTGTAATGTCTTTCAAAACGCGGGAAAACGTGTAATTTACACCGGTGTTTTATTATTACCCGTGCGCCATACCACTGTACACGCTTGCAACAACACGCCACGCGCAAACTTCGTCGAACAAACTTGGAACAACAAATAGAAATTGTGTTCTTCGAGTTCTTACGTACATCGATTATTCGTTTGGTGCTATTCTTCAGGTCGACGCCGATACTGAAATCGATAAAGTAATCGACCGAGTATCCCATCTGGCGGAACTTGTACACAGATTCCTTCCAATTAAATTCGGTTTCGTTCCAATTGTCGCCTTCCAGCAGCGGCCAACCACCGAGTTTCTTTAAAATGTTTAACAGCGGCTGTAAACCCTGCTGTTCGATCAGTGCTGAAACGAATGTACATTATCAAAGTCCACCCTCGAATTTCGTAGGTTTTTGCAATGAAATATAGAAACGTTGTTTCGGCGAAGGCAGCGAAGTTGAAAAGGGCTGGTTTAAATTAACCAGCAATTTTTAATGCGATACAAGTTGAGCGAATTTTTCAACACATTTTTTGCAACAAACGTCGACACAAGACGTCAACAATTGAACCATCGGTCACTAGGTTTCTCAAACGATACGCTACTCACTCTTGTTCATGCAAGCTTTGTACAAATTCTTCGCCAGCCTGAACGGTTTCGGCTCGTTCGGCGCGCTTTTTTCCTCGATGCTGGCTCTCAATTGGTTCTGCAACTCGTCGCTGATCTCGGTGAACGTGTTCACGCTGGTTTTATCGTCCGGGATGCTGGTAGTCTCTAAAAAGCCACCGCAAGCGAAGTCGTAGAAGTCGTCGCACGGTTCTATCTGCGTGTCCATGTTCTTCAATATCCTGGATGCTGAAGAAACCCCCCAAACGAACGATCGCAATTAATAAGGACTTCAGCGTATCAAGGTACAATAATATTCGCAAGTATATATATATAAGTATATATATAATAATATAATATAATATATATAAGTATATATATATATAAGTATAGTATAGTTTCGATACGAACCAGTGTGCACGCATTCCGGGGTGTAGCACACGTCTTCGTCGCAGGATGGTACGTTCACCGTTTGAACTTTCGGCTGCTGATATCCGTTCAAGGCGTTGGCTGTGTACGGTAATTCCTCTGATTTAACAGGTGGATCTATCTCGTGCGGGTGCGGATGCGATTGCAAAACAAAATGCAAGACGATGCTGTTAGGGATTGTTAGTAATAGCGTTTGTGTAAGCTGCGGCGATAAACTGTTTGCTTGCTTGCTCTATTAACGCATAATTTTGTTTAGAATGCGCGAAATTCGCGAGTCGCAAGATCGATGAGTGTATTATCCCGAGGGGTTAGCATCCCTTGAAGTGAATTTACGCGAGAAAAAAATTGCGCGATACGATAAAAGTTTCAGAATTTCTGAAATTTCCAGCTTGAGGGAAATACCAGTTGCAATACCAAATTTCAATCGACGTTTAAGTTGTCTACGAATAGATCGATTACAAGATCGAGGGTGTTCGATAAAGATTCGTTTCGTTCCGACGGAAATCTTGGTACGGCGAACAAAGGTATCGTTTGATCGTTGACTAGAAAGCGTTACATAAAAATCTACAAGCCAGCCTCCGTCGACTCCGAGTCCTTAAGAGGCTGTTAAACGTAAGCCGCGAGATTTGCGATCCGCGGTTGTATTTCAGAAGCGCTGCCTCAACGCAGCGATCTATTATTGATCCCCTTAATCGATCGAATCAGCCTCTGCCCGCGCACGCGAGGAGAAAGAGAAACAACTTCAGTGGCGCCCGACGATTGACGATTATCCGGCAAGACATCAATATTTTCCGATGATCTCTAAAACCGTGCCAGTGATTCAGACTCTTTTATGAACTACCCCGGGCGGTCCGCGATCGACACTCGATCAAAATATACAGTCGGAACCACCCCCGGGGTGTTTCCCGTGGCTGTTCTCCGAGAAGGTGTGACCGAAACGAATGATGACCTGGTCCGAATGAGTAATTTTCAAAACAATGATAATTTACACCGATGCGTCAGAGCCGGCACCGCTCGCTGACGTCACCGTGGTGGTTCTTGACGTCGAATTACGCGTTCCGAATTAACCGATTGCCATTTCCTATCTCGGATCGTTGTAACAAAGTCGGCGAGGGAGAAAAGAAACGTAAGCAGCCGCCGGCGTTAGTTGAACGGTCTGTTAAAGCGATCGAGGAAATCGTGGTGCTGCGCGTGCGGTTGCAATTGCCGGACGCTCCGAGCCGAGATGTCGTAAATTCGGGGTGCACGAGAGAGCGAAGGGACAGAGCGAGAAACGTCGACCATGCAAATATAATTGACGTTTATATATAATATAATCGATCTTCGATAAGAAATTTCCAGATTCGTTTGCGACAAAAATTGCGAAAAGCACTCCGCCGGGAAAGGGAAACGCGATGGAAGCAAGGAAACAGAAATGTTGCACGTTAGCATGGAACAATTTTTATAAAACGAATATCACAGGCTGTCGCGGCGATACCGGTTTCCCCGTTTCATTTCGCATAGGCATCTATATTTTAACGACTTTCTAAGGAGGAAAATGGCGAGAGACAACAAGAGTTTCTTGGTTTCTTGGAAACAACGACGTTGCCTTCTCAGAACAATAATAATAAGATTTGATTTTTCAGTCTGTGCGGGCAAACTCGAGATAATTTTATCAATCAAATTTGTTTATATTTAAAGAGCCGATGAAAGCGTAACAACTGTTTGGCTCGTAATATTCAATTTCACGTACATAAAACACACCGGGTCATATAAAATGAAAAAACCGTAATTTGGCTTCGAGTGCAAAGGGTTGAACGGTACTTTCAGTCCTTCGACACGAACATACGGGTCACTGAAAAACGTCCACGTATAGAACAGCTTCATAAACTCGACCTCCGCGTGTCGAATTCCGCAAAAATCAGCGTGTCACAGTCGAGCGACATTTATTGCAAGCAACAGTTGCAACGAGCGCAATTTCAGATGCACGTAGCCAAGCGTTTTCAGGCGGAGAATGTGTACGAATTAATTGTTTCATCGCTGCACCGGTGGATAGCAGAAGAGATTCTTACCGCTGCTCGACGGCGTGTTGCAAGATGCGGTGTTCGCTGCAACAATTGCGATCGCGACTACCAACGCGATGCACAAAAGGACTCCGGAAACTGCGATTACAGTTAACCCCCGTTCCAGTCCTGACCGCCTCTTCCACCATGTCGGATTCCTAGAAGAAAACGGAATTGCTTCTTCAACGTTTCTGCCGACTTATAATCAACGAGAAGAATGATTTACGATCGACGAGAAAAACGAACGAAACATTTTATGATTTACAAGCAATGATTTGGATGTCGCTGCTGTTGTTTTCCGAACAAGCGCGGCTACTTACCGTACCTCGTTTTTAAACATGATTCAAAAACGAAACATGCAGAATATTTTACACGAATTTCCGTGTTCGCGATGCGGTTAACCCAAACGTCACGTAAACCGGAAACGATCGGACCGAAAATTCGTCGGCGAATAACAATCGAACGCCGCTATTCTGCCCGCTCCGTTCCCGTTTAACGCGGCGATGGGCAAACTTCGCGGTCTTCTTATATTTATCCTTGAACGGTGACGGCGAAACAGTAAAACTCGCAAAGATCGAAGTTGTCTGCGGTCGCGAGCGATAAAATTTAGCGTTTAACGTCGGAGCGTCTATGATGTTTCTAGGTAACGGCGCCGGTAGTCCTTGAATTCTATGGTGAGCGAGACGCGACGAGATCGAGAGCCTCCGGATCGGAATCGACGACACCCAACTGCGCGAGAGGTTTCCTCTCGAGTAGGCGACGCGACGGCATTTAATCGTGCGAAGCGGAACAATCTCGAGACTTTGTTTGAAAAAAAAAAAGAAAAACGACTCGAAACGGTGCTTAAAGCACAGCGCGTACGAGAATACGCGGGAGAAACGCAAGTCGCGACGCTTCGCAAGTGCGACACTTTGTCGAAGAATAGAAGTATTTTACGATTATGCTGCAGCTTTACGTAAGTTGCAAGATGAAATATGCAAGCAATTACTCGGCGCGAGTCCTCGCATAAATAAGCGCGCGTCCATTATAAGATTACCATACAATTTTGCACCTACAAGGCGGACTGCCGTGGTCGAAATACAAGTCGCGAGCCGGCGGCTCTATTTCGGGATAATATTCGAACGGAAGATTTTTTTTCCAAAAAAGAAAGCCGGCGTTTCCGCCGAAACCGCGGCGCTTGTTTGTTCCAGGCAGCGTAGCTATTTCCGCGAGCGTTGTTACCTCGGAAATAAATGATCGTTGTCCAGCGTGTCACAGCGAGCGTCTCATTATGCAATTGAGGCTCAACAGTGACGATGTAACAATTAATTATAGGTGTCCCACCGGTGACCTTCGATCGAATCGATTCGGACGGACTCGTTCTCCGTTTCCGAATGCACCCCGACGCTCGTTTCGAGGATGTCGAGGCTCGTTCCTGTTCGTTTTTCGCGGATCAAAGGGAGCGTTTCGCGAAATCCGTGTCCACGAAGGACGACGCGGCAAAGGCGTTCATCGGAAAGCGGGGAAAGAGCCCGTGATTTATCCTTTCACCCTCGGGAAATAATCGGCCGGGGAACGAAAATTTCGCAACCACGCGGCCGGGCACGCTTTTACGGCGGCGTTTGTTGGTAGAAGTAGATTGCCCCTCGATAGCCAGAAGTAGATTACACCGGCCAAGTGCGGCGGCCAAGCGTGAACTAATACGGCTGCCACGGTAGATTGTTCCGCGGTCTCTCGGATGGATACGGCATTTCCAATTGTCCGCGTTCGAACATTTGTCGCGTTCGAAACGCGTTAAATTTCCGCGTCCTCCTTGACACAGTTGCCCCGATGCGCCTAATTGTTTTCTCGGTTTAGCGGCTGCTCTCGCGTCCAGCCTAATGACGGCTTCTTGCCTTTTTTACCTCCGTTGACCCAGCCAATAATTAGGAAAATGGATGCCGCGGAGGCGGAGACATTCCTCCCCGCAATTTAGGGTTTGCGTCTATTGTTAATTACCGGCTCCGTAACGCGAGTCACGAGAGAGAGATTGCAATAAGACTGTTTCACGAGTAGATAATCGGTACATCGGCGAAGTCATTTTTATCCTTAAATCTAAAGAATACTTCTCTTAAACAAACCGCGGCGATATTGGTTGTGACATTACAACGAGGCTCATCAATACGGCAGAGTCCAAGGCCAACTGGATTCAACTTGTTACCTGTCACGCACGGACGCTAGATAGTATTGTCGAGTGGCGAAGCTGAAGTTATCAGTGACAGGTGTATCAGCTAACAATATTGCGGTTGTTCGATGTCAGAGTAGACTTCCAAAGAACTAGGACACCGATCAAAATTCCGGTTGACGCACCCCGGATACATCGGTCGCTGTTCTTTCACCCAGGATTAGAAATTAATTGTCGTACGTTCGAATTAGTCAGGACCTTTCGATCGACGACGAAAGATCTCCGATAATCTCTCCAGTCTCGACGTCGGCGATCGATTCTAATTTGCGCGTGCCTTTTTCAGGACAGCCGTCGCGTCGACGGGAATTAGTAAACCGCGACGGCATTAATTACTCGTTTTCTATCTCGTGGAAACCGCGGTCGTTAAGAAAGCATCCGCGGTAGAAAAATTGCGCAAGCTTTAATACGATTCGAACGACCGTCGAACAAACAGTCTCTCTCTCTCTCTCTCTCTCTCTCCGAGCTTCGTTAAAAGCATACCTTCGTCCCCGGTAAACGATTCAGCAGACATCGCGCCGGAGGCCGGTCGATTTCGTAATCGTACCGACGACCCTAAGGCCGGCCGTATCCCTAGCGTACTCGAGACCTGTGCAACAAGGGCAGCGTAAACAAATTAGGCTCGTTAATGCGGCTTCCCGGGTGCGCGCGGTTTAGCGAACGACGCCGAGCACACGATGAAGTTCGCGGCACGATGTAAAGTCGAGTGTATTGACCTCCTCCAGGGACAGTTTGCATCGGGACGCGTTGCATCGTTCCGCGACGGCCAAGTCAATGGCCTGCACGCGCACGAGAAACCTAATTGCCAGCTTTTCAGATCGGCAAAGGGAAATCGTTCGCCGACGACGCGTCGCGGCACGTCGCCGCGGCGGAAGCCCGCGGTGGGGTGAGACGACGAAGTCTCGTCGAAATCAAAGAGCTTTCGACGGAGAGAAGATAAAGCGGTGATATTTTTTTGTTACGTTGAAGCTGAAATGTTGCGGAATAAGGGAAAATAGAGAGAATTTGAAATATCCCAACGAAATTGTGATTCGTCCGAAGCACCGTGTACAGTTGGATGATTTTTTAATGACACGTTACACATCATTTCCCGTGGATTTTGACGTGCTGATTTCAAATCGCAACGTTCCAGCTTCAACGTGAAGAAGAAAGCTAGCATCGCTCTATCTCGTTTCTGTCAAAAGTTCCTTGATTTTGATACACCTTGGCCGTTTCACCCCGCTGTGCGACGCGTCGCAGCACGACAGCGCGGCGGCGATACGAGACAACAATTTGTCGTTTGCACGCGTCATCGCCGGCTCGCTACTTACGAAAACTTCTAATCCCTCGGAAAGAGCAATCAAATTTCCGTGCCATTAGCCATGCCAGTATGTCGAGCGTGACCGTCTCGCGACGTGAGAACGCGACACCGATCACCCTGACACACTTTGCGCGCCGCGCCAACCCGAATAAAGCGGAGCCGTCGAAGGAGCGAAAAGCGAAACAATCGGCGAACAACAGAACCGTGAAAGATCGCGCGGATGCACGGGCATAATCGTGGGATCGATATAATCGAACGCGAGAGCTGCGCTCGATGCACATGGCGACGCGGGTTGGAAAATTTCTCGGGCATCCCGGACACGTTTATGGTAGATTCGAATGCACGGTAAATTCTTCCTAATTCGCGCTGTATATTTCTACATGCACAGTTTTCCATATATAATTTTCCATAACGAAGTAGCACATCGGCAGGTCTACCGGAGACTTCGGTAAAAAGGATTTGTTTGCGTCCCTCTCCATTATCGAAACTATCAAAGTTTCAACACTAATCCTATCGCGTCGATTAAAATGACTGGCTTCGCTTGTCACCCATACGTGGGTGACGGGATTACTGGCGTAGCTTTGAAATTAATTTCCGAGCTGATCTATCGCATCTATCGAATATGATTAGGATCAACGAGTCGTAAGAATGTCGAGGAAGCAACCGATATCGTGCAACTTAGCCTTTCGATTACGAAATTATATATATTATATATAATTATAATATTATATAATAATATTATAATAATAAATTATATAATATATATAATTATATTATAATAATAAATTATAATATATATAATTATATTATAATAATAAATTATAATATATATAATTATATTATAATAATAAATTATAATATATATAATTATATTATAATAATAAATTATAATATATATAATTATATTATAATAATAAATTATAATATATATAATTATATTATAATAATAAATTATAATATATATAATTATATTATAATAATAAATTATAATATATATAATTATATTATAATAATAAATTATAATATATATAATTATATTATAATAATAAATTATAATATATATAATTATATTATAATAATAAATTATAATATATATAATTATATTATAATAATAAATTATAATATATATAATTATATTATAATAATAAATTATAATATATATAATTATATTATAATAATAAATTATAATATATATAATTATATTATAATAATAAATTATAATATATATAATTATATTATAATAATAAATTATAATATATATAATTATATATTATTATTATATATATTATATTATATTAATAATTTAATTTTCTAAAATACTCGAGGTTGTCGCAAAGACTCTTTTTCATAGCGCACGATCGATTCGATTTCTCAGGCATACAATATCATCGAAATGGCGACAGATCTGCATAGATTCAGTCTTGTCATCCTTTTAAAGCGAGACAGGCTAGTCTTAGCTAGTCATTAGCTAGTTGTTAACGAGCTTTTTTGTTCGATTGTATACGATTCGGTCGTCTTGGCTGGTGCAGTGTTACAATTCGCGAGAAACGACGGTGCTTCATCCGTAAGAATTTGTTCTTATTAACCCTGGGACGTCGAATCATTTTCACAACTGTACAATTAGCGATCCTCGTGACAATTCTCAGCTTTGTCGGACC